GTGCTGGGATCTGGATTCCGTTCAGGTTTCTCGGCTCCCCGGCTAGGGCCCCAAAAACGAAAAAATAACTGAAAACGGCGTGCAGCAAAATAAAACAAAAAGTTGCTACTCCCAAATTTGAATGTTTTATTTTCCCGCTTTTGTGCCCATATTTTTTCGTTCACCCATGGTTATTTGGCGCCGTATCTGTAAAGATTGGTGTTATATATATATATATATATATATATATATATATATATATATATATATATNGTGTTATTTCTCGATCCGTGGCTGCAAAACCACATGTTTCGATCTTATTTTCGAGTTTTTTGCAGCTCTTTCCAAATCATCACCTCTGCGTGCACATTCAATTACTCTCCATCCGTCCGCCGCACTATTGAAGCGATAGGGTCTTTTCTATTCATCCGATATGATGTTCTTCATGTTTCAGATGTGTATAACGTTCGGTAAGATACAACAAATACTACTGCTGCCTATTGTGGTGTTCTTTTATAGCCCCATTACCGATGAATGGAATACCGCAAGACCGGACTGCAGAGAAAATTTAAATCCTGTGAGTAAAAATCTCAAGTGTAACCTAATCGGTACATTGTTTTGCATTCACAACCCCTGTAATAAATCAAAAAGTGATACCAGAAAAAAGCACATGCTCACCGTTCCGTATATCTAATTAAAGTAAACTCCGTTCATGAGGTGGATGTATTAAAATGCTGAGGACAATAAACATCATTCACAAAAATACACCCCCATTACTATCATCAGTCTATTAACACTGCAACATTTGACATAATTACAACGGTCAAGAATCAAGGGTTTTGTCTATAGTTTGTTGGGAAAAGGTGTGCTAAATGACTGCGAGTCAAAGAGAAAGAATTTCAAGTTTTGGCTAAGGCGCAGTGGGAAAAGGTTTAGCGGCTACGATCAATTAATGATGGAAATCAGTGGTTTGATTAACTTCAACTATACATTAACGATATATTGATCAGTTATATTTCAGAGATGAATAAAATATACACACCTCATAGCCACATGAGTAACAGAGCACCCACAAATATTCTGAACTGACTATGATGTTGTGGACCTCAAATACCGGAATCGACTACGACTAGCAAAATTAGAAACTCGTCGAAATGAGATCATTTCAATCTTAAATGGCATTCTTAATACAGAATTCCACCAACTGAAACATTACAATTAGCTCTCCTGCATGGAGGATGTAATCGAACACACGGCTGATTCAATTTTGAATATGGTCTGCAAACTGTTACGAATTTTGTAATTCCATTTCTTGACCTGTACCAAAAATCACGAAAATTCAACACTCCCTAACCAGGAGACTAGGTCATATATGCCCCGTTAGGCTTCCTGGCTGGGGACCTCGGGATGATGGTCACCGATGGTTAGCTACACTGACTGATATGGCTGGGTGTCGCAAACAGTGGCGCTCGTGCATCCACTCGTTATTTTCCTAACACCATTCTATATGAATTCCCTATGTTCTGCTTCAATTTGCTTCGACATTCCAACCTACATTTTGCTCTTTTATCCAATTGGGCAACCAAAACCGGTGCACGAAAGTGCATGATTCATGGTTGTAAAAAACTGAACTGAAACCCGCCATAGAAACATTACTTGGCTAGGTTAGTACATTCATTTGCAAAGTTGCATACCACTCAGACGAAAGTTAAGCCCGTTTAGTGTCGTACCAACAGAGCGTAGAAAAGTTACTCCGGTGATGCGATCCGCAAAGATTAAGACCTGTCACGTCAAGTTATCTCACAAAATGATTACCCGAATCGGTCTACGGACAGCATATTCAAACGCTAACTTTGTACATAATGTGAATGGCTTATCACTCTAGCGTCGTCCTGGCAACGCGTGTTCAGCGAATACCGTGGTTTGCCATCTTTATTGGCCCAGTTGCTGGTCATCTGCTTATAATGATGGTCAAGTTGTAAAGGTCACCAAGCAACCCCTCCCCTAGGGGGAGGTATGTTCGAATCCTACCACCATCACCTGATTTTCCTGGTCTGTCGTACCGCAACGCTTTGATTTTCAGTTTCCTCCTTTCCTAAAATTGTATTATTATATGAATTCAGTAAAAAGGAAATATAATATTGGTTAAAAACTGATTATTACTCACTCAAACTGCGTTCTGCACGTGTAACGACGAAGCGAAATGATGCAACAAGCACTTGGTAACATCATTCCGTAAAAGCTATCTAACCAAAAAGTTGCCCGTCCAAATCCAATAATATGCATCAAGTCGCACTAAGGCGACCAATGAGTGGGTTCTCTTTGGTTAATCCTTCCGCGTCTCGGTGCTCCATTCGTGACGTACAAACTGCAAGCACTCCAAACTGTGTGCTAAGTAAGACATGCTGAGTAACCGTGTAGCTTGAATTCAGTTGCTCCTATAAGCCCAATATGTAAGAGAAAAATTTTCCATTCCATTCCGTTTTGTTCGACTTTTACCATGAAAATTGGTTTGTTCAGAATATCTGAGTAGACTAACCTCATAGCTGACGAGAATCGATTACTTCCGGTTTAAATCATCTTGTACACAACCTGAAAATCGAACGCACCCGAAGAACAAACCAATACAAACTGCAAAACAGAGTACAATTTACACATCGGAAAGGAACCAAGATACGGTGTCCTCGCCTCGGGGGAATCTATCAAGCAAACTATTCGATAAGCAAGACCACAACATGAGTTGTTTTCGTTCCAACGAGTAGAGGAGACTGTCAGTGAAACATTGATCGATAGCATGAGTGCAAAATTGTACATACAATCGTACGACTAAATGCAACCGTCTGAGGAGAAACGCAAAAATCGAAGGCAGTGTTCTGAGACTGAGTGGTTGATTAAGTTTACTAGTATACACACCCGCATTAGACAGTGTTGGTAAAAAAGTGAGAATACCAATCACCCGGAAAAATCCTAATTATCTGCCAAAAACCGAGCTACCAATCACAAACAAAACGAAGTGCATTTAAACCTCATTTACACAGGGTTAACACAGAACTTTCATCACGGATTTCGCCAAGAACAGAGCAAAGGGAGCGTAAGCTGAGATAGGAAACACCGTTTCTGGGTCGTCAGCAGAATGAATCCATTGACCCAACTGAAGATCCAGTCCGGACTTCACGGAGAGAGAACATAAGAACACTCTCTACTCCACTGCCAGACAGCTGATCATTTCATCTTTTCTCAATATGGCACAACAGCCCGTGTACGTAAACTTGTTTTGAGCAATGAACCTCCCAGGGTTGTAAGTCGGTTGGGAACATTTGGAACCCGGCTACTTACCACACTAAGAGTAAAGGAGTTGGCTCGATCATAAAGCTGAAGGAAAATAACAGAATAAAATCTTTATTCCGCGTTAGCGCTTCATAGTTAGCACAAGACTATCCGATGGAAACACTGCCGCCGTTAATATCATTCCGACATACTTCATTTCGCTTACGCACCTCGGTCTTTTATCATACAGTAATGCTTGAACCCTATTAATCGTGACGACTAAATTTGCAATAGAGCAGGCCTGGAGAAACCGTTTATCAGGGAATGTAAGTGCCAGTATAAGGATTCGAAACACCGATCTTGATGTAGTAGCAGTTTAGGAAGGGACTAAACCAGCTTGACCACGACCATTGCCACCATCACGCAATTGACTGGGAAGAGGGATGCGGGGCACAAATCAAGGGAAACTAAGTTGGCATGAGAGATTAACTGAAGGCCAATAGGCGAATTTATTAGTTTCAGTTCACGTTTCATTTGTGCTGGATATAACGAAACTTATCATATAATTGAAGCAACTCCCAACCCGCTCACTACTCTCAAGTAACACAGTAAGTGTATAGTATACACAGTAAAACCACAGATGTTAGCAAAAAACCAATTCGTTTTGCGCGGCACACGGTCGACAATTATTGACAGATAAATCAGCAACAGTTTGAAAGCGCGCCCCTCAGTTCCGAAAGTTTTTCTGTTTATGGATTTTCAATATTCCTCCTCTGCGATGATCCCACTGGTGTTCAACTGATTTAATGTACGCCTATCGATTTGATACCAGTTGTAAGTTGAGGCAACACCGTGAGGAATACAATAAGAGGGATGTAACAACCGGTCATACCTTTTACTTACACTTTGATTTTTAAATTCATCATTGTTTACGCAGAACTAAATTCATCTTCTCCCTGGTTTAGTCTTTAATCAATCAATCGGCCTTTATGACGGTTAAAAGCTGGAGGATTGATAGTCCTAAATGGTAAAGTGTCGCTGAGAGTAAGATGAATGTATTCCTGATCAATTCACCAGTCACTTGGGTTATTTATCCATTGAATTGTTTGCAGGCATGGACGTTTTGACTTTTGCCGTAAAAATTTCGCGAAGGTATGGAAAAGGCAAAACGAGAAGGAATTGAACACTGGGCTTTTGTTCACATGCAGTTGGCTCAAGTGATCTCTCTCTCTCTTCTTGTCAGACAAAAGTAGCCAATGACCCACAACCCAAGCCGTGGATGGCATTGTACAAAAACGGTTCACAGACGTGGGAAACCACTGTTCTCTAGCTATTTGCTGTAGTGTGAGAATATCCTGACTTTTATCAACTATCTGGATACACAGTTCTCGTCTTTATGAAAAGAAAAATCCACGATCTTCTTGTGAGCACGGTACTGCCAGGTTGTCTAGGTGAATTTTCTTACGGAATTCTTAACCGGAGTCTTCGATTAGCCATAGCTTAACCCGAAAGGCAGAAGGGCACTGTGTGTGGGGGGGGGAGGGGGTGTGTGGTTCGTACGCCTATTCTTGGTTGACCTGGAACCAGGGTTTTGGGCTCAACTCCCCTAGATGAGCTGCCATGTGATTTCCATACCCACAAGCGGCATATAAAGCGGTACTTCAAATGTTATATATTAGAGGTCCGTTGTTAAGGTATTGAATAAAAATTGCTTTATCACGCATATATTACAGGTTTCAATCAAGTGTACAGATTACTAAATGGGATCAAGCTTTCAAGCGCTTGGCCTTCTTCACCTTCAGATGTTTCTTGGCCTTGCCAGATAACTTTTGGTCGGGAGATTCCAGATAACCGCGCTTCTTTGATTTTTTGTGTTTCTCCGTGCTGAAAGGGTCAAAATAAATATATGACAAATGAAACATTTGGATCCCGTAATGAATTTGAACCAGGCACGTCAGAGAGGAATTCTTTCGTATACTCTCATCGGTGGCGTACGTATAACATTGAACAAGATAGACAAACAAAGCGATATGACAAATCCTTTTTGGGTTAGAAAAACAGGGTACAGGACATTGATCCGTAGCACACGGACAACAATCAGACAGGAATAGGTTCAGAATTCGGAAAACAGAAAGTAACGCTTGCAAGGGCTGAAAACAAAAAAGGAAATAATGTTTCAATACTTACCAAAACCAGTATGTAGTTTGGCTATTTATTTCAGCACACTGAAACGTGTCCCTAGAACATCATACGCCTGAATTCAGACTATGCCAAACAAAACAGTGCACCAATCTTTAAAAAAATCCTACCTCACCGTTGACTGTGATCGTGTAGTCAATGTCAGAAGCACATGGATGGAATAAGGACAAATTGATTTGTGCATGCGTTTGTTTAGCACACTTAGGTGTAGGCTAACTCGCAGAACTGAAATTCACAAAAATGTGCATTATGGTCATTTCAGTGTTCCGAAATTATCGGCTACAGTATTCACACCAGTGATTCCTATGCTAAACCACATAACCCAGTGCGCTTAAGCAACAACAATTCTCATCCCCCGGGCAACAAACTGGAAAGCAAACTGCATCAAACATGCACGACGCTGAAACTAACTTCTTCGCGTAGTGTAATCCAGTTTTGCCCAGCACGTGCACAAAGAGGCCATGGGTAGGCATCCGTAAAACATGACCGAGCAATTGGAAGCGTTGTAGAGCGGTTTCATTTGCAGTCTATTCGTATTCAACATAAGACGATGAGCAGGCAGTCTGAGTCTCTGTTCGAATAAACATTAATCAAACACTTTCGTGCGGTGGTTTCGGTTAAAGAAGAACCTCGTCACTGTCCGTGCAATGGTCGCAACAGACACAAGCACCATTCCAAAGATATCGGCGATCACTTATAAGAACGGTGGATATGCACTGACGATGAGCTCTGAGAGCGAAACCCGAGTCAATGACTGACTACAGGAACTGAGGATGGTGCGTAAAGATGAAGTCTGAATAACCGTCAGTGTATATCAATGTATCTTGTCCAATATCTCTAGTTACACGTAACTGTGAGTTGAGTGCGAAAAACAGAAAGCCCATTAGCGTCTTCAACGCGGAAAGAGACCAAGTCCGGCAACCGTAAAAACAGGGAACCGTGGCGGTTCGTACCCTTAGGTTGGCAGAAGCTATTCTAGCTTCCTCTTTTCCGCGATGTGATCTCCTGCCCACAATCATCTCCGGGGTCTCCTGATATGCATCGAGCTTTCGACTACTTCCAGCTGATCCCACGGTGAATGAGTGTGGACTAAGCGGTTCAGAGCGTGTTAACCAGCAAGGCGACTTTATCAGTATACACTACGTCGAGAACTCTGCGCCTTAAAAGGAGCAGAACTAATTCGTTGGCTAGACTGGACAAAGTATGTTGCAGAACATTATCTATTGCAAAGATGAAACAGAATGGAAACGTGGGGTAGTTTTGTAGCACTGCACTGGCGACGGCAGAGTAGCGAAAGCCGGTCAAGGGGTCTAATACGGCCTGGGATATGACAACACATCTCTTTGAGGATCGTAACATATTCATCAGGTAATGCACTTCATAATAAACAGCATGAATCTATCGATCGTATGGAAGGGGGTGCAGATGTCCAGGAAAACGATGACAGTTGGTTTTTGGAAAGCATGACAGTACTATAGAAACCGCCAGGTGATCTGATCGATGCATCTACGCCCACTGTCAAACATATTTCTCTTTTCGTTGTCATTTTGTATTACACCACTGTACGATGAACAGGGGACGGGGCGAACCCCGAAGTCACAATGACCTGCTGTCCAGGACGACATTAACGACCGATGGATAAACGAAACAAAGCTCAGTATCCGGACAGGGAGCTTGTGACAAAAGAGACCATGCTAAGAAGGGAACAACAAGCATGATGAAAACGAACACCACTCACCGGGAGTCTGAAACCGATAACTGTACTCGAAGGGAGCTCAAATCCGATCCATGTCCGACAATTGCTTTCGACCACTCCGATTCGGACCCGTGGACCTTGAGGCTGTTCAATGAACCCAAAGGACCACCTCCGGAAGACAATTCCTCAGACAACATCTGACGGACAACGTCTGCGCGGCGTTTGATCTCAGCCTCACTAAGCGTTGTTTGTTGGTGCTCCTCGGAAGCTTCGTCTCCGTCATTCCCATCCCCGTTCTCGTGATCCTCATTCACATCGTCCACATCCTCATGATCAGACTCGGTCATTGGCACGTCTGAATCTGCCAGCTGGTCATCGTCAATTGCGTCTAATCGAAGGGACAAACACTTGCCAGCCTATGAGAGAATGTGGGGAAATTTTGTTCCATTGGGTGTACGTTGGTGTGATGTTGAATCGATAATTACTTTCTAGGGGTTGTTGGAAATCGTTTGGAACTTGATGTAATAAGTTGTTCGAGAAATTGAATCAATCAATAAGCTACCTCATACAGTGATGCCAACAGGATTTGGGATAAGTTGCATACTTTTCGTTTAAAGTCAACTTATTTGATTTTGAGGGTCAAATGAACTCCCCCGAAAACCCAGTATATAGGAGTTAGAGAAGTTGTAGCGTGATTATTGAACGCGGCATGCAGTCATATAAACATGTAGGTAAAAGTTGATATGACAATTGCAACATACGCAATAAACCAAGTGCCGTGGTACAAACTTCCAAAGTAGTTGCAGACCCCTTAAGGAAAACATCGTCCTTCATTATGCGTGCTCCTTCAACCCTAAACATGCCTCAAATGCAACACTGACTGATGACTGTTGATCAGGTCAACCTTTCTGTTATTCCGGAGAAAACTGTATACAGTTGGTAAGACCATCTGTGTCATAATGAAAACAAACTAGCGAATTTGATCCACTTTCCCCTCTTGTTCAGCATGTTTATTGCGCAGTGAAACCCGGGGGACATTTACCATACGATATGCTTTAGGCTCAGAAAAAACCGTCAATTTGTCAAAACCCGATGAAAAATGCGGAAAGAAAGCGATGAACAGTCTTACATCCACAGGAACTCACAACTGCGTGCGGTAAGTGTCCATTATAAACAAATCTAATTCCACCTGGTAGAAGTCTGATTCGACTTGAACTTTGATAAACAATCAGACAACGCAATACTTCATCGGCACCCCAGTGAGTTGATTCCAGACTCGTCAACCTCGCAATGATTCTTCGAATACACGTATCACAATGATTAAATAAAGACTACAAGGGAATTATACCCGATGAGAAGCAGGGATCGATAAACCGATCTTAATCTTCTAGGAAATTTTGTCCATTCACCATGATCATCATTATTCTCATCATCACTTCACTGATCGCAGCCAAACTCGCAAAGTTGCTACTATTATGTGGGCTGGACAGGAATAGGATCTATTTTCAGGAAGCGGGCGTAGAAAATGAACCGCAATGGTCAACATACAAAGTACACTGTGCATACATACCGTTTCAAGCATTCTGACTGGATAAGCAATAACAATAAGAACGCCACTGATGTCTGTTCGCCGCCATATACTTCAATCTCTCGAACGAAACGGTTGTGGAATCTTTCGGACCCCAACCTGGAAGGCGCGAGACAACCACTCTACCTAAGAGCTGTTATTTTCTTTATGCCTCATCTCCACGCCATTTTTTGATCTTCACATGGTTTCCACAAACCCAGATTAGCTACAGCGATTAAAACGCGGTGTGGCAGACGATCGCTGAGCCTAGACAAGACGTACCCAGCCAACGAAATCAAACGAATCTGAGATCGATGAGCTAGCAAATTTATCACCGATAAACTCCCATTAACATGGCGGCTTACCTTCAGAGTACTAACCCGTTTGCTCCCGCCTACATGGGCTACACTACGTAAACATGGATAGTCGAAAACGTCTACTCGACGGATATCTTTTTGCTAGCAAATTCAAGGTCTCAACCGTAAAGCAGAACTGAACGAACGATAGCACCATAAACACGACCTGCCAACTTCAACGAAACATCAAGTCTACGCCAAAGGTGTTTTAGTCCTACGTGCGCTGCTCGAGTCTTGGAAGAGCATGCGGTTAACTCCTTTGCTGCGCTACCGTCATCGATCACACAACTACCTAAATAGGAAAATCAATCCACTATAAATAATTCCCTACCATTTAGTTTCAAAGTGCGCCTAGTCTACACTCAGTCTCAAGGTATCACTTTGTTTGCCCTTTGAAAGTGCAAAACACAGCGATTTAGTTTATCATGTGCGCTTTGCGCATCCTACATACATACGAACAAATAGACGATGTCATCAGTGCACACCAAATCGCACAGCTTTTCTTTAGCTGCAAATTCAACACCTATGTACGTTTTGGGGACCACAAGTGTGTCATTCAGTATTTCATCTACGACGAAATTAAACAGGAACGGCGAAAGAGAGTACCCTTGACGAACGCAGCTGCTGGTGACGAACGGTCAGGAATTAGCGTTGTCATTGTAAGTATGTATTTGATACTATAGAACTCGCATTGATTCAATCCGTGCAATTTTTCAAAACACTCATCTAGCCTCGAAACGCCCCAGGTTTCTCCAAGGTTGGTGTATGTATTGTATGCATTTCACTCACGTCTGGTGCAAGACTGTGTGACAAACAATTCACGACACAATAATCTTTATAAAATCTTTATAATTATGGGAAGAAGGTCGGTGAAGCCTCATTTTCTTCTCCAAAAGAATTACTCACTATTAGAGCATTTCCCAAAGTATCTGCCGCTGAAATCCCACTTGCCACCTTCTCGTAGCCACGGTAAGAAAGGCAAAATTCCAACAGCCCAGAACATGTCTAGGTTGATTAATTATGAGCAAGTAGTTAATTTAAGAGAGCTAGAAAAGTCTGATCTCAAACCTCACCAGACGAAAATGGACAAACTTCGGGGAATTCTGATCACGATGGTCATCAGGACTGATTGAGCTACTAATTGTATTCGGTACTTGGACGTGCGGACCACGTGTGCGAAGCGTGCGATAACATCTTTCCCTGACTAACTGGTCAGGCTTTGGGTGAAGGTGCTGATAGTGAATCCCCAAGAAAACAACCTGCTCTTGTTTGAACGAACTGTTATCGTCCTGACTAAAAATCAACACTGTAGACAGTTGTTTATTACAAAGATTGTGGTACAGTGATGTGTTTGACAGTCGGAACCCAGGCATGAGAAAGATATGAATACGTTTGCTATGCATAAGTAACAAGTTTCTCTGGATCGCTTTCGCACTCTAACTGACCATGACCATGCAAAACTAAACACCCTGGCTCATGGAATCCAGTGGATCTCCCCTGATATAGGATGACATCCCTTGGAATCCTGGAGAAAATTTACTAACAGTATCACAACATCGGTGGCTGCTGTTACAACAGTCAAGCGTCTAAGCCAGCCGACCATTTGAATTAGCCATTCGCAGTCGAACTACGAAATGGAGTCAGTTCAAACGTTGTCCATACCCCAGCACTTGGGGGCCTACAGGCTCCTTTGAAACCATTGCACCAATTTGTAGCGGGAAGACAAGCACACTTAACATGATATGCTGGCGAGAAAATTTATCGCAAACCCGAAGCTACTATATAAGCATGTAAACGCTCCCTGGAATGTCAATTATGCGGTTCTGATACTAAACTTCGCAGGATGTGTTCCAACGAGAACAAAGGAAATGGAAAATGAAAAACCGTCTGATCAGCTGCCCGGTGGCGTAGTGGGTAGCACGCTTGCGTTCTGCCCATGAAGTCCCGGGTTGGATCCCCAGTTGGGTCGATGGATTCGCACTGCTGATGAGACCCAACCAGGTCGAAACAGCTACCCAGTGCTTCCGAGCTTTTCGGTTCGCGTTTCATTTGCTATATACACGACGAATTCCCATTTGAAACAAAGGAAATATTTAAACTACTACTCGGGAGAACAGAGCTGTATGCTACAGAGCGCGTCCCCAGGTCGCGGATAGGGGAACAGCCGTCATCTCACGGCTAACCGTGAATAAAGTGGGTTTCGGTTCTCCGAATAAGCGGTCGCGGACGATCAGAGGCAGCGCTTGAGGATGTGGTGGGTTTACTTCTTGGCAAAAGTACTTCGCACAAAAAACCAAACATATCTGTGGACAGCACTGTGAAGTGGCGAGTGTGGCCCGCCACTAAATATCGCCATCGCTCCTCGTAAAAATCTATTGTTCGGCAAGGTTCCAGAAGCGGCGAATGAACCAAATACTGGCCACCGGCTCATCTAGAATATCGCTGCTGAGTA